TCGGAGGCTAACGGAGATTAGAAGCTGTTGTCAACAATAAGGAGAGGGAGAGTCTCTCACGTCGGACTGAGAGAAGATAACGTCAGCTCAGGGAGGGTAAAGGACTCTGTAGGATTAGATGTAAAGTTAGTCTAGAGTATCTCAGTCTGCGTCTCAAACGTTTGGTACATCTATGTAAACAAGATATTCGCATCTATGTATATTAGTTGTATATAAATAAGTAGAAATAGAAATCCTTCCAATGTGTGCTATAGTCAGTAACAAAATAAAAAACAGTTTGAAAGCGGGAGTGATTAGTCAAATATGCATAAATAAAAGAAAGAAGCAGGACTAGTAAGATAAGATAGAGAGAGGAGTTTATCAATTGAGTGTTATGCTTGCATATCTCTAAGGCTTTTTGAGTATTGAAATAATATACAGTTCTGTTTCATATGAGTGTTGAGAACTGTATCCTTACATCTCTTAATATTGCCCTCAAAGTGCACCAGATTGATGCATTCAACTTCAATTTAAAGAAACAAATCTTCCCGGGGGTGCATGCCCCCGGACCCCCCTAGAGGATGTGAGGTCAGCACAAATAAAACAGGTTCACATGGAGAGGATACTAGATAAGTGTGCACACTCATTATATACTCTACACATTTTTCTTGGATTTGTTAACAATATAGTCCCTAACATATTTGTAGAAAGGCAGGAAATGGAATTAAATTGAGAAAATGTTTCATTGCGGAGGACCCCCTGTTTTGTGTCCCCCCCCACTTCTCAAACCAAAGTTACACCCTTGTGTGTAGCATATAAAATGAATTGCTCCCCGACATTCATGTGGCTTGCTAGTTTTGGACCTCATCTGTAACCCCAATACACGTAGGGGACCACCGACTTTAGTAGCTTAGTTATACATGTACCTATATTTGCTTGTCTTTGTTATGCAGAAGGGCTGTGGGTACCACCTGGACCTGCTGATGGTGGGGGTGATGCTGGCAGTTTGCTCCATCATGGGCTTGCCCTGGTTCGTAGCAGCCACAGTGCTGTCCATCTCTCACGTCAACAGCCTAAAGCTGGAGTCGGAGAGCTCGGCTCCCGGAGAGATGCCTCGCTTCCTGGGCATCCGAGAGCAGAGGATGACTGGCCTGCTCATCTTCCTGCTCATGGGCTGCTCTGTGTTCATGACCGGAGCCCTGCAGGTCAGTCAGAGAGGCTGTGCAATGCTAGTCCCCTGTGGCTGGGATGGCTTTTAAATAATGTTACTCATCAACGCTGAATGATGAATGTTTTGTTTTTTCCAACGCAGTACATTCCTATGCCAGTGCTCTATGGTGTGTTCCTTTATATGGGAGTCTCTTCACTAAAGGGTATACAGGTAATGTAGAACATGACATATATACATAAATATGTGGTAAAAATGATTTACAGGATGAGGAAAATTGGGTTTGACTTTGGCACCCCTAGTGAGTGTTAATGGGACTGTCTCTTTGTCCATATGATCCAAACCCTTTTGTGCAAGATGCAAATATGTACTTTAAATAACAAATGGCCCAGTTTCATGTTTTGGCATATCCTTCCCACATTTTGTATTAATGTGGCTGCTGTCCATGGGATGCCCTCTCCTCACCCAATTAATTTTATCGCAACTCCATGAGGCCTGACGGTTAATTGTCAGACTAAATTTGTCATTTATAATCACTTTCGTTGTCTTGCTATATTCACCATCTGTCTCTCTGCTCTGCTCCCATTAATGTATCTCTCTCCTTTACCCTCTCTAATTTCTCCACCACCTGCGTTCACTTCTCAGTTCTTTGACCGTCTGAAGTTGTTTGGCATGCCGGCGAAGCACCAGCCAGACTTCATCTACCTGCGGCACGTCCCCCTGAGGAAGGTGCACCTGTTCACTCTCACCCAGCTCACCTGTCTGGTGCTGCTCTGGGTCATCAAGCACTCACCTGCCGCTATCGTCTTCCCCATGATGGTGAGTTAACAACTGCCCACATACCTTATTTCTCTTTGCTAATCCCTCCATTTAATCCTATACAAATCAAATGTGTTTCTTCTTCTGTGCCTGAAGGTGCTAGCTTTAGTTTTCATCCGCAAAATGTTGGACTGGTGTTTCTCCAATCGAGAGCTGAGTTATCTGGATGACCTTATGCCTGACTGGAAGAAAAAAAACCTTGATGATGCCACCAAAACGATAGAAGAGGTAAACTAAATGGGATCTTGAGATACAGAGAGGGAAATAAATAAACATGCACATTGACTGAACATGTGGCATGGATCTGTCTTATAGGAATCACAGGGAATGCTCAGTACAAAGAAGGATGATACAGCTCCTGTTCAGATTCCTATGGAGAGCAGGTATCCTGCCCAGACCCCAAAAGCACATGACCCCAGGTGAGCAAACACACACACACACAACCCCACACAAGATAACGGCTTCCCCTTCCTGTCTATCTACATGCATGCTTGGGTTGTTTGGTGTGTTGCATTCTGCTTTCCCTCACCCTGTGAAAATTACCACACTGGGACCTCTCCCTAAACCCGTACTCTCTCCCTACAAACTCCCTTTTCTTCTCCTCTCCCCGCTCCTCAGGTCTGACCCCTCTGATATTAATATATCTGATGAAATGTCTAAAAGCACTGTGTGGAAATCCCTCAACTCCAATCAAAAAGACACTCATCCTGTGGCTGCTAAGAAGGCAAGGCCATACCCTCTCTTTTCTCACCCTGTCATCTGGAAATATTCCTGCAGCACATTGTGGTTTACTCACTTCTTCTGTGCTTTGCAACTGTTGCTCCAACTGCTAACTGTTCAAATGTGCTCTGTGCTGTGCTAATGCCATTGTTTTTACTCTGCAGGATTGACGGGATCACCTTCATAGACGAATAAAAGATGTCCGAAGTCCTGGCAGAATGTAGTTCTGGACCTCAGGACACTGCAATTTGGCTGCTTTGAAACAAGTCTCAATGATTTCTACCAGCTACCCACAACACATACTGTCCACAAGCTCACAGACAAGGAAAGGTAGACACATGTACTTCTATCTTTGTGAGGTGAATAATAATGCTCACAATCTTACCTTCCCAAAAAAAAGCCAGTGCTTAACTCATTCTAACCATCTTAACTAAAGGAAACCAAATTCTCATCCATCATCATCTACTTCCAGCTTCACTAAACCACACAGGGAAGAAAGCCTTTAAGGTCTGGCCTGTACTCCGCCGTTAGCTTCCTCTCTTAGTTCTGAGGTTGAAGGATGATATAAGGATTGAAACTTAAAGACGTTGTCTCCTACAGCAGCAGCAATCACCTGTGAAAATTCCATAATATCGAATAGCTCTTCATTTATGGCTGATAACTTACAGACATGTCCTGGAGCTGCTCCATCCACAGTGACAGTCAATAATGGAGGATACAGTCACAGCTGCTGGCAGCCATGGTGGTTTCACTGAGATAACAGGACATTTGCTGATTCACACCTGAAAGTCGTGCGTTTATTTCAATCTCATTCGGATGTAACATCTCAAACAGCCCCAGTTAGTGAGTGTCACTGTGCTGTCTCCAGAAATGTCAGCCCGTTTTTATTTACTCGTGGGGACACAGCTGCTGTTTGTCTTTATAGATCAACTTCACTTCCCAAAGTCAATAAATTAGGTCGTTATAAATCATCTTGTATGGTGGATTTTTCATTTAATACAAGAACTAGCCAAAGCCATAAACTGAACCCTAGCACAGATAAAAAGCAGGAATATATCCAGTTATTTTAGGTACAGCAATGTCCACCTAATGGAGTCATATTCAACAGTCCGGCAATAAATCCTACCTTCATGATTCTCTAATATTAAGTTTTTGTTTCAGAAAATAATGAAATCAAACGTGTGGTCATCTGCTGCAGTCTGTGGTGCATTACACTCACAGGTGTTTCTATTATTTTGTCCATCCCATTTACATTGATAAGGGCAGACTGAGTGTTAGGGTAGGGAAGCAATCTTAGAATTGAATTTAAAAAATCCTCCCTGTCATTTTATGGTCAAAATGTGTTTGTAGTTTCAGTAGTTAACTACTCACAGAACAATAGCCAAAAAGTAATTAAACTACTTGTAAATATGAATGTAAATGGGCTACCAGTAAGTTGCTGCAAAATTGGATCCACTGTTAATAGAAATGGGTAGAAGACATTTGGTCCTCACAAAGATAGAACACACACACACACACACACACACACACACAATGATTACAACAACAACCTCTCTACTCCCTTTTTTCTTAATTTCATCACAAGCAACACTCCACCCATGTACATTGAGCTAGGCTTCATGACACTTGTACTTTAAAAACAAACCAGGTTCTTCTTATTAAACTAAGTAGGTTTATCTGTGATCATTCCTTAAATCTACTGTGTCTTTTTATGTAATGTGCCATGAGTGGGTTAAATCTTAACAGTGATGATATGGTTGAATATTTGATAGATTTTAGAAATACAATGCAGGTTCAGTAATACATAGCTAAATCTTCTTTTGGGTCACAAGACTTAGTGTCAGTTTAGTGTGATGTTGTAAACTGAAAAGTGTAAATGTTAGAAGACCGACTTCAGTTGAAGCAGCGGCATCCTAAACATGTTTTGAGGTATAATATGTTCCCTTTATGGATGTTTGTCTTTGGCTAATGACTGTGTACGAGGTCATTCTACAGAACATCTGTCCAGTGTTACTGTACTTTCTTATTTCTTTACCTCAGAGTTCATGAAGGCTCATGCAAGGCACTTTGGGTTACCTATGTTCAAGGGGAAAAAAGAGCTGTGTGTGTGTGTGTGTGTGTGTGTGTGTGTGTGTGTGTGTGTGTGTGTGTGTGTGTGTGTGTGTGTGTGTGTGTGTGTGTGTGTGTGTGTGTGTGCAAACTTTCTTTTAAGCAATAATTTACCCTAAATCCAACACAATTGACCTTACCACAACTCTTTTGTTATCAGGGTCCTTCAACCTTTTTTTATCCATCCCTGTGTGAACTAAAGACGGTTCGGTAAGAGTTGACACTAGAAAACTTTACATATGCCAAAAAGAAAATGTTACACACAATTAAAAGGATACATTATGACATTGTCACACTTTCTTTTCGAGCTTCACACACCAGTGTCACCTCAACGCTGGGAGAGCCAAAGGAAGCAGAAAGGCTGTGTGAATGAATGACCTTCAGTAATATATTTTTTATTTTGTAGTTGCACTTTCTGTAGATAATTTATGAAATTATATTTTATTTTGAAGAAGTCTATTAAGCAATCAAAATATTTTACAATAATTTATTACAGTTATTTATTTTGAGATATACTATTCCAATGAGTTCTGCTTTCTGTATATACTGTTATAAGCAAGATGAGCTAAGAGAAAGGTTGAAGAATGCCGCACGTGAATAATACACCTGAATAAATTAATTCAATTAAATGCCATCGAAGGTTTTTTAAAGAGAGAAGAGGTCTGATGGGAGACATCAGGATGTTGTCTCATAAACCGTGAATGTCACACCCGTTCGTCCTCAATGGTGGACATAAAGAGCCGGAAAATGCTAATAAAGCAAATTATTGTTTGTTACTTCGTTGGACAATATAAGGAAGGTCTGATTAAGGACTGTTTATTTACATTTTTTATATCAGGCAATTTTGACTGTATTTTTCAAAACAAGTTAACAGAAAATAGGGGCAGAAAGGAGGTATTGAATTCTACTAAAGTACATTTTTTAAAAGATAGATCTTTACTTTAACGTTACATTTAACAGAATGAACAAAAATTAAATGGACAATATATTTAACAGTATCCATTTAAAATATGATACATTAATTTATGGCTCAATCTAGTCATGTAACTGTCCAGTTAAATATCAATGTATTAACTGTTTTATTAACATTTTTACGGCTACTTCCAAAATAGTCCCCAATATTTTAATTTAAGTGACTTTAAAGCGAAGTGCACAGGTACAGTAATTGTTAACTGTAACATCACATGCAGTAATACCTCTTCCAAGACACGTATGAAAATTGAGTACATCGTGTTTGCTGTCATGTACTCCTACTTTGACTTTTGAATGTGAAAAGTGTCCGTGGACCCATAACTAAACTAATGAATGGCATGACTAGAGATTATTCATTGTGTAAATATATATGTTCTAAATCACATGAGTGAATGTAAACATGTGTAAATTGAGAAAATACAACTCCAATATTGTGAGTACACTTGACAATTTAAGTGTTTTACAAAATAACATTATTATTAAGCAATTGTTCAAGCCATTTTATTGATCATCATGTGTCTTAAACTTGATTTTATAATCGTTATGTTTATGTGAATGTATGGTACACATACAGTTAAATGCCTTCAGTATACTGTAGGTTTACTGCATTATACATGTGACCGAGAGGGGTCAAACACTTTGATGGATGTGAGTATAAATATTTGTGCAGTATGTGTTCCTGTCACAGAAAACATAACCATTTCCTGTTGTGCTGTCATTTTTAACCTTAAATCTGACCAAAAACAGACCTTTTAAAGGCATTAATGAGGAACAGGCTTGGCTGTTGCTATAACTTCATCTTCTGTGTCTCTTTCTATTTTGTACCATTTGTTTGTCGCAATTCTCTTGTTCATTTTTACGTGTAGACAAAAGTGAAAACTGTACACTCTGTGGAGCTTTATTATTAGACAAAACTCGAGACTGTTTCGAGGACAAAGTCAGGATGACAGAAGAAGAAAATAATGAAAGAGAGAGAGTGTCTTTCACTGAGAACAGCACCTGCGCTGCAGTAACCTTAATCTAATAGTGTCGGAGCCATAGTAAGAGCAATACCTTGTCTCTTCAACCACTGAATGATTACTCTTGAGCAAAAAATAATTCTACATGTTTTATATGTATTTTAATTTTTGATTATGTATAAATGAAAAATAAATTAAATGAAAAAAAACGTTTTGCATCATACCTCTGTGTTTAAATAATGAGATTAGAGAGTAACGTGTTAATGTATAATGATGTATTTAATGGCTTGGCCCACTAGGAGGCAGCAGAGTCACAATCCTTTTAAGTACCTCCCCTTATGAAGACTTTACCCTCATAATGTGTGTTTAACTTAAATGAAGACATCATTTAAAGGTTAATTTTAGATTTTTAGGATGAATTTCCTGATCCTGAACATGAGGAGTCTACCTCTGTCTCAGTATACCTCTGTTCTCTGTCTTACCTTCCTTCCTGCTATTTCCATTTTTCATTTTCATTGCATTGACCCATCCCCTCCATGTGCCGCACCCCTCCCCCGTTATTTTATCCTGAGGTGAGAACACAGTGTGCACATCTGGAGGTGATCCTGACTGCAAAGGAGTAGCCTGTGGGAAGGGGTGTGAGGTTAAAGATGCACTGCACCCTGTATGTATATATCTATGTGTGCATGTGTGCCTTGAGGGTGTCATGTGATCCAAACTCCCAAATGCTCCTGATTACAAACAGCTGGCGGGCTGTGGACTCGACCAATCACATGAGCTGTTGGCCGTGACATCAGGTGGAAGGAGGGAGGTGGTCAGGATATTTCAGATGGGTTTTTTAACCTCTGAATTAAAATAGCAACATCAGGCCTTAAGCTGTGATGGATCCCTCATCTATCTAGATACAAGTTATATTTACCCACTGTTCAGCTTGTCTGTACATGTTAGCATTGATTATTCTCATGTGGGTCCACCATCAGTATGGCTCATAGCCAGCATGGGCCAATCAGCTGAGGAGGGACCCAGCCCTAATGTCTCTCTTCTAAGACTTAAGCTTTAAAATAAATCCTTTGTGCTCATGTGAATGTCCTGTGTTTTTTTGTGAAGGAAAGCTGAAGAGCCAAATGGAGCTGGAATGCAGACAGGAATGCTTTTTTTTTTTTTTTTGCAGGGCTGCCACTAAATGCAAAATGATTAGCTGTTATTTGGGGGTATTGAGGTTTTAATAGTTTGCAATGTCTTTAATATAGAGCCTCTCAGCTGATACAATATTAATTAAATAGCCTGTGCAGTAGATTTGTCACATTAGGGAAAGCAAAAGTGTAATTAATAACATTAATGTCAATACCAATTTGCGATATATCTGGGGTCCCTTTGTGCAGGACTCCACAGCATTTTTATCATTTGTCCCACACATTTAGCTGATGTCCCGCATTTGATTCACGGTCGCCCGTCTAAAACAATGCTTTTAACCAAAGGTGTGTAGAAATCGAGAGGGCTATCACCATTAGTTGTGTCAGATGTCAATCAATCAACAGAGAAATGTATTTACTTGTTATGGGTGTATGGTGTAGCCGGTGGAGGGCAATTCCCAGAGAGTTATTGTCAGATTTGCAAGAATTTATTTTGTATTGCGCACAGAGGTGAATATGTTTTGAAGCGACGCTTCCCCGAAACTCACGAGAAACACCTGGCTCATAAAGAAAATATTGATCTATGGATATATTCCTCTTGAAACCAAAATATATATTAATCTAAACTAGCTCTTGGCAACGCAGTAACATGTCCCGCAAAAACGTCCTCTTTGTCCAATGTGGATTGTTGGCACCTGGTCACCCTAGATCAGGGATGGGCAACTTTGATGGTGGTTGGGGCCACATCATTGATGTACTGGCCACCAGGGGGCCGCAGATTCACTTGGAACACACACACACACACAAATTCCATGTGTTGTATGTAATTATTAACAAATATACTAAGTCTGACATCTTCATTGACATTTTACAATCAAAGAGAACATCCCCAAAAAATGGGAACATCCTCTAATAAGCTCACTAAACAAATATCAGTTCACAGAAATGTTATTTCATTTTTGCAAGTGNTCATCTGAAAGCTGTGATTCCACAGATCCCAATGGTATAAGTATCATCACTGAGCGACCAAAACTCGACAACGCACAACTTAGCTTTACTGGGACAACGGCAAATACGTCTTACCTTTGCTGTTTTCTGATCAAAAGTTGAGTTCAATGG